TGATGGGTGAGTGGATGGGATGGATGGATAGATGGACAGTTGAGAGATGAAGATGGATGGATGAATAGGATGGATAGGATGAATGGATGGATGGATGAATGGATGGATGGATGGGTGGGGATGGATGGATGTGATGAATGGATGGATGGATGAGATGGACGGGGATGGATGGATGTGATGAATGGATGGATGGATGAGATGGACAGATGAATGGATAGATGGATGGATGAATGAGATGAATGGATGGTTGGACCAAAAGATAGATGGGTGGATGGTTGGATGTGGTGAATGGATGGATGGGAGGAATGGATGGATGGATGGATAGATGGATGAATCAGTGGGATGAATGGATGGATGGATGAATGAGATGGATGGGATGGATGGATGAATGGGATGGATGGGATGGATAGTTGAATGGATGAGATAAATGGATGGATGAGTGGATAAGATGGATGGATAAACGGGATGGATGGATGGATGGATGGATGGATGAGTGGGTGGATGGATGAATGAATGGATATGCAACCAGATAAACAAACCTAAAGTACACCTTTAATCAGGCCACTCTCCTATTCAAGAACCTAACTTGGCTGCACACTGCCTAGGGAATAGCAAACTCTGCTTTGGGGCATTCAAAGCATTCTGAACTGGTCCCAAAGAAGATAAGTCATTCATAGTGAAACATTAGGAAGATCATCTGTCTCCCCAAGCTGGGCATGAGCCATTTGAGGGCAGGGTCATCTTCATCTCTCTGTCTAGACATTGAGCCCCTGGTCAGCAACATCAGAGATGTCTGATGAATAAATAACATGACTGAGTGAGCGAATGAGTGAATGAAAGCAGCCCCACTCTGACCCAAGAAGCCAGCAAGTGAGAAGCAGAAAGCTGCAGACCCAGAGGGCTGAACGGTTCAAATTTAGAATAGGAGAACAGTTTCACTGTTTCAGGTCACTGTTCCTGGCCAAGGTTTCGGAAGTATGTAAAGCTGGAGCTCTGCGGCGACAGGGAAATTGAAGCTTACCAGAAACTAGACTGGCAGTGTCTCTCGGGAGGGACTGATTTGAATGCCAATGACCTAATCCTCCAATTATAAGAGCGCACTGTCAAACTAAAAAGGACACTCCCACGCAATTGCAACCAAAGCCACGAAGACTCGCAGCAGTAAGAGTGGCAATTTCCTGCCCTGCTGACACATTTCTGGGTTTTGCAGACCTTGGGCCCTTCCATTGTGACTCTCTTGGTTTGCAGGTGGAAGAGAAATAGAGCTGTGAAGAGGAGAGCTGGGGTCACCTCAGTTCTGCCAGAGGTTCTGTGACCTGCTGGAGGCTCTGGAACCTTCCCTGAATCATCATCTGTGGAGCAAGGACTTGCCACTGAGTGGCACATTCTATTTGTACTGCTCTTCTGATCCGTTAGTGTCTTTGGTTGGGTTCCCTGGGAAAGAGACTCAGAAAGAGAGCTGGGAACCCAGGCGATTTACCAGGGAGCACTCTCCCGCATAGCACCTGTGAAGTGGGTAGGGTGGGCGGGGAGGGGTGCAGGGGATGTTGGGGCTGGAATGGAGACACACCAGAGGCCTCAGCAGAGCTCAGAGGCTGAGACAGCCCTTCTGAGTTGCCCACATCAGGGCCATGAGACGGGGGGCTGACCCTGTGAAGGAGGCAGTATTAGGCGAGGTGGTTCTTCTTGGCTGAAGGTGAATCCTGTAGCCTCTGTCCTGAAGGGGAATCGAGGTGGTGGACTACAGTCTCCACTGTGGTCCACTACTCTTCACTTCCACCACCTGGAGCCAACCCATCACCTCTCAGCTGGATGCCTCACTGGAGCTCAGCATCCATGCTTGGCCCTTCACCAACAGAGTCCAATCTCCACCAGGAACCTAAAGCCAGAGGGGCTCTCCCAGCACAGAAATCAGATCACTTCACTCCACTGCTTGAAACCCTTTGAATGCCCTCCCAGATCAAAACACACTCAGAATAAAATCCTGAGTGATCCCTGCCTCTGCCAATGATCTTTCGCTTCGCTGTGCTTCAGTTCTCTCTCTTTTTTTTTTGAGGTCTTGCTCTGTCGCCCAGGCCAGAGTGCAGTGGCATGATCTTGGCTCACTGCAATCTTTGAATACTGGGTTCAAACGATTCTTCTGCCTCAGCCTCCTGAGTAGCTGGGTCTACATGCCACCATGTCCGGCTAATTTTTTTTGTATTTTTTGAAGAGATGGGGTTTCACCATATTGGCCAGGTTGTTCTTGAACTCCTGACCCCTCATGATCCACCCATCTCGGCCTCCAAAAGTGCTGAGATTACAGATGTGAGCCACTGCACCTGGGCTTTTTTTTTTTTTTTTAAGGCAGAGTCTTGTTCTGTCACCCAGGCTGGAGCGCAGTGGCATGATCTCAGCTCACTGCAACTTCAGCCTCCCATGTTCAAGCAATTTGTTGCCTCAGCCTCCCGAGTAGCTGGGATTATGGGCACCCGCCACCATGCCCGGCTGATTTTTGTATTTTTAGTAGAGACAGGGTTGCACCATCTTGGCCAGGCTGGTCTTGAACTCCTGACCTCGTGATCCACCCACCTTGGCCTTCCAAAGTGCTGGGATTACAGGCGTGAGCCACCGCTCTTTCTCTCTCTTGAACAGTCCATCATGATTTTCAGTGTTTTCTCTTTCTTGAGGCAGCTCTGTTCTACCACAGGTCCTTTGCTCTTTCTGTTCCCACTGCCTGATGTTCTTTTCCCTCAGAACTTCCCATGGCTGATGACTCTACATCTTTCAAGTCTCATCTGACATGTCACCTCCTCAGAGGGATCTTCCCTCGTCACTGATCTAAAAGGTTCCGCATTCCTCACATGTTACCTTCCTGTTAAACCACTTTTTGCTGTTTGAAACTATCTTATAACTTTACTGGTTGATTTCTTATCTCCTCCCATCAGAATAAACTCCATGAAGGATCGGAATCGTGTCTGCCTGCTCACCTCTGTTACATGAAGCATCTAAACCAGAAACCAATGCATCGTGGGTGTTATCTATTTGTTGAATGGCTTAATAATGATTTCACGATTGTCTCCTTACTTATTCCTAATCTTGCTCTTTTTGCTCTTTGCCTTAATCAGATTAGGCAGGATCTGTCTATCTCCTGATCTGTCTTCTGGTGCTTTCTTTTTAAATAACACCTTTTTCATTTTATTTATCACTTCCACTCATTTGTTTTTTCTATTTCATTAGTTGCAGAGTTTACCTTCCATTTCTTATTCCTATTCTTTTGGCTTTAAAATTGTATTTTCTATTTTCTTGAGTTAAATACTTAATCCATTTTGTTTTCAATATTTTTAAATAATAAATGTCTTTAAGACTACATTTTCATACTTGCCTGGCAGGGGAGATACCATGATCACGAAGGTGGTTTTCCCAGTGCCAGGCTTATCCATTGCACTCTGGATGTGCTGACCCCTGCAATTTCCCCAAATGTGGGAAACTCGACTGCATAATTTGTGGTAGTAGGGGACTGCGTTTGCACTTTCCCCTAAAAAAAAAAAAAAGACTACATTTTCCTCTGTGGGCAATATTAGCTACGTCTCACACATTTTGGTGTGAACAGTGTCTGCTTTTTATGATGCTAGGTAAGTTTCCATTTTGGTTCCGATTTTCCTCTGATTCAGGGGCTGTTTAGAAATAATAGCTATTTTTCAAGAAGTTAAAAATTTGAGGTTTCTTTTGATAATTTATTTTGAATTTTATTTGATTGTGAAATGAGAATGTGGCTTGGAAACATCTCTTCCCTGAAACTTCACTTTGCCGTTTACAAATTCTCACTAGACCAGAGTTTCCTTGCTCAGCCTGTTTCCTCATCTGTAAAGCAAGCACAATAAATAGTGGCTAAAGATTTATGCCGGGCGTGGTGGCTCATGCCTGTAATTCCAGCACTTTGGGAGGCCAAGGGGGGTGGATCACTTGAGGTCAGGATTTTGAGACCAGCCTCGCCAACATGGTGAAACCCCATCTCTACTAAAAATACAAAAATTAGCCAGGCATGGTGGCACACGCCTGTAATCCCAGCTACTGGGGAGGCTCAGGCAGGAGAATTGCTTGAACCTGGGAGGCAGATGTTGCAGTGAGCTGATCAAGCCACTGCACTCCAGCCTGGGCAACAGAGTGAGATACCATCTCAAAAAAAAAAAAAAAAAAAAAAAAAGAAAAGAAAAAAAGAGTTGCTATGGTCACCTGGGCTACGAGGCTTGTCTTGAAGCCACCTTATCCTAATAAACCCATTGTCTTTACTTATGTTGTATTTATATGTGAGTGGCCTTGATGCTGTCATGGACCACTAGAATACCCCAGGCCTAACAGGCAGCTCCTGATGCCAACTCAAATGCTAGTTCCACCAGGCGCGGTGGCTCATGCCGGTAATCCCAGCACTTTGGGAAGCCGAGGCAGGCAGATCACGAGGTCAGGAGTTCTAGACCAGCCTGGCCAACATGGTGAAACCTGGTCTCTACTAAAAGTACAAAAATCAGCTGGGTGTGGTGGTGTGCACCTTTATTCCCAGCTATTTGGGAGGCTGAGGCAGGAAAATGGCTTGAACCTGGGAGGCAGAGGTTCTAGTGAACCGAGATCACCCCACTGCACTGTAGCCTGAGCGACAGAGCAAGACTCTGTCTCAAAAAAAAAAAAAGAAAGAAAAGAAAAGAAATAAGGCTTTAAAGTTCGATGTGGTGACCCACGCCTGTAATCCCAGAATTTTGGGAGACAAAGGCAGGGGGATGCTTGAGGCCAGGAGTTCAAGACCAGCCTGGGCAACATAGGGAGACCTCATCTCTACAAATAACTTAAAAATTAGCCAGGTGTGGTGGCACGTGCCTGTAGTCCCAGCTACTCAGGAGTCTGAAGTAGGAGGATCACTTGAGACCAGGAGGTCGAGCCTGCAGTGAGCCGAGATCATGACACTGCACTCCAGCCTGGTTGACAAAGTGAGATCTTGTCTCATTAAAAAAACAAAAACAAAAACAAAACAAAAAAAAGAAAAACAGAACAAAACAGAAAACAAGGCTTTAATAGCAAGAGTACCTTAGATTTACATACGGTGCTTTGCAGCAAAGCCGCCGTGATGAAAGTTTCCGCTGACCGACCACGTATTGTGTGTGAAGCACTGCGCTCCGTAACTCACATATGTTGCTGCATTTCCTCTTCACAATAGCCTTGTGTGGAAGGTCTTATCGCCTCCCTTCTCCAAATGAGAAAATAGGATCAGAGAAATGTGATGTTGCCAAAAGCACCCAGCTCCTGAGTGTGTTCAGCCTGGGGGTGTCTGGCTCTTCCTACATCTGGAATCTTATCTCATTTGGTTCTTTACCTATCAGATTGAAAAGGTTCATTGTCATTCACTCAGCAAATATTTGAGCACCTGCGTCATGCCTTCTGTCCCACAGTATGCCAAATTCTAGACTAGGTGCTGGAGATAAAACAGGGAGCAAAACAGTGTCCTTTGTCCCCTGTCCCAGTTGGGAAGAAAGACCAAAGAAAAGACAAAGCAAAGCAAGGCAAAAACAGCACTTCAGAGTATGTATGATGCTAGGGAGCGACAGAGGCAGCTAAGATTCTCAACAGTTCCTTTCAGTACCAAACTGTTTTGCTTCTGTTGTGTTTTTCTTTTTCTTCTTGTTTTTTTTATTTTTTTTTTGAGATGGAGTCTTGTGCTGTCACGCAGACTGGAGTCCAGTGGCGCAATCTTGACTCACTGCAACCTCTGCCTCCCGGGTTCAAGTGATTCTCCTGCCTCAGCCTCCTGAGTAGCTGGGATTAGAGGCACCCACCATCATGCCTGGCTAATTTTTGTATTTTTAGTAGAGACCGGTTTCACCATGTTGGCCAGGGTGATCTCAAACTCTCAACCTCAGGTGACCCACCTGCCTCAGCCTCCCAAGGTGCTGGGATTACAGGTATACGCCCCGACACCTGGCCTCTATTTCATTTCTGATCATCTGTTCAGGCGGATTGACAGACACAAAAATGTGGTGTCTCTTGCCCTAAGTCTCCAGTGACTACTTTAGCCATGTCCCAGGATCAAGGAATGTACAATTTTGTTTTTGTTTTTTGACACAGGGGCTCGCTCTGTTGCCTAGGCTAGAGTACAGTGGTACAATCATAGCTCACTACAGCCTCATCCTTCCAGGCTCAAAGGATCCTCCCGTCTCAGCCTCCTGGGTAGTTGGAACTACAAACGTAACACTATCACACAGCTAATTTTTATACATTTTTTTGTAGCGATGCGGCCTCGCCATGTTGCCCAGGTTGGTCTTGAACTCCTGGCTTCAAGCGATCCTCCCACCTCGGCCTCCCAAAGTGCCAGCATTACAGGCGTGAGCCACTGTACCTGGCCCAGGGTTCTGTTGTAAGCATATCCTTCTTGTGGTGTGTCCTTTCTTCACTTGCTGGCCTGCTGTTTCTTGTTCCTGTGTAATCTGTCACTTTGTGGCACCTCCTTTTCCTCTGTGTTGACAGAGCCTGGCTTGTTCAGCCACTTTTTTGTCCCCTGGCGGTTTGACTTCCTTCCATGTTATTGCTATTATGTGTTACATAGCAATGAACTAGCCAGGACACATTGTTACTTATTCCCCTGGGTTGCTTCCTGGTTCTGGAATCCTCCTTCACTCTTCACATTTCTATTGATTTTTAGCCAAACTCGGGGGTTCACAAACTATGGCCACCCGCCTGTTTTTCTAAATAAAGTTTTATTGGAATGCCTGTTTGTTTACATGTTATCTGGGGCTGCTTCAGCCATGGGGGCAGAACTGAGAAGCTGAATAGCTGAGTGACAGAGACTACATATGGCCCCGGTGAGAGCAGAAAAAGAAACTGTTTTTCCTCTGTTCTCACACTACAACAATCAACACAGAAGACTTTTTTTTTTTTTTTTTTTGAGACAGAGTCTCACTCTGTCACCCAGGTTAGAGTGCTGTGGTACAATCTCAGCTCACTGCAACCTCCACCTCCCGGGTTCAAGTGATTCTCCCTCTTCAGCTGCCAGAGTAGTTGGGATTATAGGCAGCTGCCATCACGCCCAACTAATTTTTGTATTTTCAGTCAAGACAGAGTTTCACCATGTTGGCCAGGCTGGTCTCAAACTCCTGATCTCAGGTAATCTGCCCATCTCAGCCTCCCAAAGTGCTGAGATTATAGGGGTGAGCCAACTAGGCTGGCCACAGAAGACTTCTATGGCCAAATGTGTGTGGGTTTTTTCCCAAGCACTAAGCAGTGGACACCAGCAGGGCATCCCCCAATTCTACTCTGATGCTATCTACCTGAAGATAGCCTCAGGTCACATGAATTGAGGGCTCAGTCAAGACTGACCCTTCCTTCTCACCAGTCACAAGTCCAGGCCTCCAGAACTTCTGATAGACCCGCTTCAAATTGGAGTTCCCACGACCTGCTTTTTGGGTTTAATTAATTTGCCAGAGCAGCTCACAGAACTCAGGGAAACTTACTGATGTCTACCAGTTTAAGACAAGGCTCTTTTAAAGGATACAGTTAAATAGCCAGATGAGATGCACATGGTGAGGTCTGGAAGGGTCCTGAGCCGGTCCCCATAGGGTTGGGGCATGCCACCCTCCCAGAACGTCGATGAGTTCTGGTTCACCTTTCTATTAACCTCCATGTGTTCAGCTATCTGGAAGCTGAGTTTTGTTTTTTTTTTGTTTGTTTGTTTTTTTTTGAGACAGGATCTCACTCTGTCACCCAGGCTGGAGTGCATTGCACTTGGCTCACTGCAACCTCCGCCTCAAGAGTTCAGGCAGTTCCTGCCTCAGCCTCCTGAGTGAGCTGAGATTACAGGCCTGTGCCACCACATGCAGCTAATTTTTGCATTTTTAGTCGAGAAAGGGCTTCCCCATGTTGGTCAGGCTGGTCTCGAACTCCTGACCTCAAGTGATCCACCCACCTCAGCCTCCCAAAATGTTGGGATTATGGGCATGAGCCACCAGGCCTGGCCCTCTTGAGCCTTTGATGGGGACTTTGTTGGGTAGGCATGACTGAGGGTAGAAATGTGATTGAATGAAAAGGGGATGGTCTAACACTAATAGGCTGAGTGGAGAACCCCAGTGAGGCTGTCTGTTCAGAGTCTTCTCCACTTCTCTGTGCTGTATTCCTTCCTTCAGCGTATTGGGCGGGACCTTTCCGAAATGAGGGTTCTCAAGACCCACAATCAGAAAAGCAGGGGTGCTCATCAAAGCTTCTCCAAGGAGGTAACATCTGAGCTTTATTTGAAAAAATTCTTCAATCACGGAAAAGAGGTCTCCAGAAACATTAAGAAAAAAAACAAAAGTAATTGTAGGACAACTCATGGTTTTTAAACTATGCCGTTGTTTTCCTAAGCATGCATGTAGGTATGCAGGTATACATCTGGACGCCAGCCAATTGCTGGACATGGTGGCTCACATCTGGAATCCCAGCACTTTGGGAGGCCAAGGCAAGAAGACAGCTGGCGCCCAGGAGTTTAAGACCAGTCTAGGCAAGATGGCAAAACCCCATCTCTACAAAAATTATAAAAATTACCTGAGCATGGTGGCGTAGGCTTGTAGTACCAGCTACTTAGGAGGCTGAGGCGGGAGGATCGCATGAGCCCAGGAGGTTGAGGCTGAGATGAGCAACAATTGCACCACCGTACTCCAGCCTGGGTGACAGAGTGAGACTCCATCTCAAAAAAATAAAAAATTTAGACATCAGCCAAACTGCTGACATGAAAGTAGAGGTTTACACTTATTTTCCAGCAAGCAGATATTCACGTTACTTTTATAATAGATTTTTCAGCTGTGTCTGTGAACAAAAGCTATTTAGAGCACATATGCAAAAAAGTTGGGTCAGCAGAAGCAGCTTAGGGGTCAAGAGCATCTTCTCTGGGGTAAAAAATGCCCCCAGCTGGCTCAGTTGCTGGCTTTGTGACCTCAGGCAAGCTATGGCTTCAGTTTGTCTAGAGTAGCTGTTCCATTTGGATTTGTACCTAGAGGGAGGAGGCTAGGGGTGCTGCTGAACACCCTGCAATGAGCAGGACGGCTCCCCCACTTGTCAAGAGCAATGTGGAGAAGCCCTGTTCTAGAACAAGGGGCAATGTCGGCCTCAAAGAGCTGAGAACTCACATTGTGTAATGCACTTAGCATGGGCCCTGGCACATAGCTAGTGCTTAACAAATAGAAACTATTTTTATTACTGGACCTCCCCAAAAAGTAAAAAAAGATGTTGAGAGTGTGCAGGAAGTGGTGGTGCCAGGGAGCAATTCTGCTGAATCCCAACTCCAGCAGCTGGCTGGAAGGATCTCTGACCTTCTCCATAGCAACAATGGACTTCACGGGGTGTTTACCTGCCAAAGGGATGGCCTATACCAAGCTCCCCAATTCCTCCTGTTCAGTTTTTCTGGTTTGAATCTCATCTCCTGCCAGTAGTTTAGGGACATTCCCACTCGATCACCTGGTCTCTTATACATATTCAGCTGTCTTTCTCTTGGACATTCCCGGTGTTCAGAAAAAAACACAAACTTCTCTGGTGGGAAAACCAAAACCCGGACCCCATCTCAGCCCCCAGCCCCCAGCCTCGCATGCTTCCTGTAGCCCTGACCTCTCTCTACCCCTTTCCAGGAAATCTAAGAGACGTCCACACTGCCGCTATCTCCTCCTTCTACCACATTGGGTCAGCAAAACGGGTCCTGCCACATTTCCAACACCTGCCCATTGCCAAGTCACTGTTTCTCCCTCCCTCTTCCTCTTGTGTCGCTTGTCTGCTGCCTTCAGCGCTGCTGACCACTGTCCCTCTTGGCCTGCTCGGCCTCCCACCCTCCTGCCTGCTCACTCGTCCTCCTTTTCTCAACCTGCAGAGGCTGGGCCAAGGTCGCTGCCTTCTCTCACTCTGTGCTTTTTGTTCTCAATCCCCCGGCAATCTCATCCACTGCTGGGTCCTCACTAACCTCCACCCTGAGACTCCCCAGTCTACCATGGCCCTCACCCTGCCATCTCTGCCAAGTTGTCTCAAAACTCCCTGAACTCAGCAGTCACAATTGATCTCCTATCTGCCCCACCAATCTGGTCTGACTCCAGTGCCCCCGTCTCAGGGAATGGCCCTGTCATCAGTGCAAGTGCACAGCCCTACCTGCTGAAAACTCTCAAATCCATTGCTCTAAGGATGAAATGCAAATTCCTCACCCTGTCCTGCAAAGCCCTGCACTGCACGGCCCACGCCCACCTCCCCAGCCTGGCCGTCCCTGTGCACCCCCTGCCCTCCACTCCAGCCACACTGGCTTCCTCCCTGCCCTGCAGCTGTGCACCCATGTTCCTTGTCTCCCCTAGCTCACTCGCTCCCACCTTCCCTACATTCCCACCGGATGCCCGCCCTACCATGCACTCATCACCCACAGCTTCCTCTTCTGGAGCATGTATTGAGGATACAATTTTAGTCATAACTGCCAGTGAACCATAAGCTAACGAGACCACTGATCCTTATTTTCTCTATTATTGTGTCCCCAGCATCTGACACTATTAATATGTTTATTAATGTTTGTGAGTGTCAAACATTCAACACAAAGAAGTCATGATAATAATCTCTGAGCAGAATCAGGCAGATAAACCCTAGACTGATCCCAGAGAACCTTCTGGAATCAAACTCAATCAACCCTCACCATCCCCTTCACCCCCAAGTCCCCTTACTCAAGTGTCTTATTCAACTTTATTGGTACCACCTGGGTGATTCCTGAAAGAAAACCAGTGTGGGTGTTCCCTGGCAGCACCGTGGGCGCAGCGCCTCTGTTACACTGTGTAGTTATTCACTCAGTCCATCCACCTGCAACATGGCTCAGGCAGTATTTACCCCAGCAAGACCCAGAGCTCAGCTGAGCTGCCTGAAGTTGAACTCCTGTAGGAAAGGAAAGGAAAAAAGGAAAGACCCCACCCAAGGAGCCCACCTGTCCTAGACAAAGAGAAACAACCACCAAGGTTTGGTTCTTGAATATGTATTTTTTACTGAAAAAATCATTCATAAATTAACATACAAAAATGTACAAACACATGAGTAAATAATGTAATGACAAAGGACTATTTTTTGTGAAAAGTGTTTTTTAAAACATCTTTAGATTTCAGTGCAAAAATGTACCCCTGGCACCTCTTAAAACATAAGAGCAAGCTCAAAAACACGTAGTGATGGAAATAAGCTAGCTACGCTCAATGCTATTGTCAATGGTGGTGGATACAATCAATCCATGTGGCTGCTGCTCAGCTATTAATGTCTGTGGTAGAGGATCTCTTGACAAGAGGACCTATTATGTCAAAATGAGTATTCTTGTAAGTACTCCCTTTCCCCCAAAAACAGCATAACAGGGACACCTTTCCCTGCACACAGCAATCAAAGACAAGGTTAATTTAAGGGGCCACCCATCAGTAGCGATGAAGAATTTCAGCTGTCAACATATGCACAAGGTCACACTTGGTTCCTGTTTTTTTTAACATGACAATTCCACGCTATTAACGGCACACGGGCCTGGCTATACGTTTTTAACTATGACATTTCCCATATAATATTCAAGACCTGGTAGATGCATGACAGTTACATTCAGAGATTCCATACTCATCAGACAGACTTGGACGTGACCGCAAGGGTATCGAAGTGACCCCACTTTACGCAGTGAAAAGAGACCTTTCCTTTTGTTCTCTTATAAGCATTTCAAAAGTCAGGTGTTAGTCTTTTGCCAACAGTGTGTGCTTGATGGCAATTATGGTAATGTAGAGCTTCAAACAACACTGCCGCCTATAATTCAGAATCAGTCTGTACTGGCAAATCCTTCCAAATGACATCACAGTGTTGTCACAATGAAAGCAACTCACAGCCTTCTGTGAGGAAAAGGGAGAGGAGAATGAGAAGGGGAGAAAAGCTGCGGCAGGGACAAAGGCCCGATGGGGGTGGGGTTGCATGGTGGAGGGCGAAATGGGGTCGGGGTCCTTTATTGCTATATGCACCATAAAACAAAGGAAAACCAAATGAACCTCTGGGAGTAATGTTCCCTTGTGAAGGTATTTTAAAGCATGAAATGCTTAAAAGTTTTAAAAAACATATGCTATAGCTTACCAGCATTTTCAAGGGCAGGAGCCTGCTCTCTCATACGAGCCGATAAGAGCTTTGCAATGCAATTTATTTTCTAAATACCACTCTATTCTTCAAAAGAAAACACAAACATAAAAACAAGGCCTGGCCAATCACTCCCACAGTTTGCGGGGATCATATGTCCACAGAACCATCACATGCAACGAAAAAAGCCCTAACCCACACGTATATACACACACACACACCCCCCTACACACACCCATGTAAACCATGAAAATCAAGGAAGTTGAAGGCAAACAAGGCAATTAAAAAAAATACGAAGTACTCTTCAGAAAGTACTCCTCATCACAATATATAAATATGTTGTATGGAAAAGAAAGGAGGGGAGGGACTGGCATTTTCCAGATTTCTGCAGAAGCGGATGGGGACTACAAATTGAGGGCTTTGGTTCGGGGGAAAAAACAAAGAGGCACAAATTCCAATACAATTTAGAATATGACTTCAAGGCTGGGCATGATGGCCCACACCTGCCTATAATCCCAGTACTTTGGAAGTCAACGTGGGTGGATTGCTTGAGTCCAGGAATTTGAGAGGAGCCTGGGCAACATGGCGAAACCCCATCTCTACTAAAAATACAAAACATTAGCCAGGCATGGTGGTCTGCACCTGTAGTCCCAGCTACATGGAAGGCTGAGGTGGGAAAAGGCTTGAGCCTGGGAGATGGAGGCTGCAGTGAGCTGTGATGGTGCCGATGTACTCCAGCCCAGGTGACACAGCCAGACCCTGTCTTTAAAAAAAAAAAAAAAGAATATGACTTCAAAATGCAGGTGGGGGTGTAAGCAGCACACCTGGGCTCTTGCCATCTGGAGCTTTGTTAGTCTAATTTCAAAGCTTCAATCTGGTCTTTCCTGGATCCCAGCTGCCCCACAGCACACAAGTGTCACCGGCTCCCTGGCTCAATTCTTTCCTACTCCAGTGCTCCTTGGTTCTGTGTATCAGTTACTAATGTTGACAAAGAATCTTTCCAGAAACCAAAAAGGGAAACAGAGGAATCACTGAAGCCAGCTGGTAATGTAGGCACATTGTTCAGAAACTGTGGCCAAGTTTCCACAGAGAAAAGAAGGGGGGGAGGGGTTCCCATACAACCCCCCTCCCAAACCACATGCTGATAAAAGGACGAAACATGAAGCGGGGAGAGCCAGGGATGTGTGCGCAGCGAGCCGTGGAGGGCCTGCTTTGGGCAGGAAGCAGCCTGCTCTCCACTTAGCGGAGAGTGGGATGAGCGCATACGTGGCCAACAGGGAAGAGTGAGTCCACAGCAGAAGTCAAGGACAAGACCCGTGGGGAGAAAGAAAGGGGCAGAAGCCAGCTCCCGGCAATAAAGGTCGGGTTATTTTGTTCTTTTGTGACATGCCCTATATCCACTCCCTTCCCAAGGCAACAGCCATTCGGGAGATGATATCCTTCAACAGCATTTTAACTGAGTTCCTGTACTTGCCAACCAAATAAATGGTCTAATATATAAATCCTGGGTTTGAACTGGAGCCAGCTAGAAATTAAATTTTAAAAAGGCATTTTACATGGCTTATTTACAATTATACTTCTTCAAGAAGTGATTGTTATATATTTATGTCTATTTATCTTTCCCAAATACCCTCCCCTCCACCCTCTATCCCCACCCAAAGGTAATTTTTTTTAAAAAATGAAACCAAAGAGAACACCAGAGATATAGAAGAATGGTGTGGAGTTTCATTTGCTCTTCCTAAAACGCAGCTGCCCTGTGCTGGGTTTGCCTCTGCTCTGAAGGCCAAGAGGCTGCAAGGTCACATGTAGGGACAGGCTCCACGGCAGGACCACGGCAGATCACAGTTCATCACGGGTTCTGGAGACTGTGGCTAAGACAGGATGTGGGGTAGGAGACGGGGAGAGAGCAGCGGGACAGACGTCTGTCTTGTGAAAACAGAAAGCCAGTGCTGACGAAGGATGTCCCCAAGCTCACTCCCTCGGTCCCAGCAGCTGATCCAGTGAAGGCGTTTGTGCGTGTGCGGTCACATTTTCCCCCAAACCCTGTGATCCTTCATGAGACACTGTATTTCTGTTCTCTTGCTGTGTAGACCCCCCCCCACAAAAAAAAATCTCATCAGACTGCTTTCTTGGTGGCGGTGGGTAAAGCCAACATACATTCTCTCCTCTCAGTACTCGTTCACCTGAGCCAGCTCGGGTGTCAGGTTGACAGTTATGTTTTTATACAAGGCGTCATATGTGATGTTTGCAAAGTAGTTCAGGTTGTTGAGGCCATCCAGCCCTTGCCGTTCTTTTGACTTCCTCAGCAGGGCATACCTGTTTAGGGTCGGAACAGAGAAGAGGTGGCTCTGTGTGAGGATCCACACCTCTGCACTCAGACGATGCAGCCAATGGCAGCACTTCCATAGCACGAGGCGGGCGCACAGCTACTCTGCTATGCCAGGCTGAGTGCAGTTATTAGAATCACGTCCTGTGTTTAATGCCAGGTGCTTTACTTATTTCATTTAATGCCCACCCAGCCCCTGCTAGCAAATGAGGAAAGGCTTAGTCATGTTGGGTAACTTGGCCAAGGTCAGAGAGTGGGGAAGTGGAAGGGAAAAGATTAAAAATACAACAGATGAGAAAGTTCATACTCTGTATTCAGTGCCATTTTACTCCCACGAAAACGGAATTTCAGCAATTAGAATTGGTTGTCTGGAGCACAGTCTTTCCCACAATTTAGAAAAGACCAAAAAAAAAAAAAAAAGGTAACACAGCAACTGCAAGCACACAGACAGAAGCTCAGAACACCCATTCAGAATGGGAGCCTGCAAAAAGGGGCCAGCTGCTCTGTCACCTCAGGGACTTTCATCCAAGCTGGTTCTTCTCAAACTCCCCAAAGGCTACTGAGGAGACCACAATGCTGAAGACATAGAATGAGAGATTTCCTTAAAATAATCTTACTATTGACATTTTCACCAATGGTCTGATCCCCCTACTGGTCTGCCTCAGAGTTAAAATACATGCAACAACTGTCAAACAGCTGTCAGAACAGAGCCTTGGAGAGGGGAAGAGGAGGAGGGGCTGTAATATGCTCTAAGACATCTGGACATGAAAGTATAGGGGATACTTTCAAGAGACATAAATAAATTGCACCAACCTTCCAAGAAACTGGACTTCTCCTCGATGGTGATGAGGAATGGACTTGTACTTTCCTGTGTCACCCTCTGGCCGGCTCACAGAATAGCCTGCATTCTGGACTCTGTCCAAGACCAAGACAACGGGCTTTTAGATACAATGGTAATAGTCCAGGAGTGACCAAAGCCTACAAGCCATGTTACAAGCTTACCCTGGAAATCACACACAGCAAAAGCTTTCTCACTCACTCAAATGACTCACTGTGTCATTTGAAGTTAAGGGGGGGGGGAGAAAAGAAAAAGAAAACAAACTGAGTTAAAACTCAATTTTAACTGAATTAAAGTTTTCATGTGAACAGAAAAAATAGGCTGGGCTCAGTGGCTCATGCCTGTAATCCCAGCACTTTGGGAGGCTGAGGCGGGTGCATCACTTGAGATCAGGAGTTCGAGATCAGCCTGGCCAACATGGTGAAACCCCATCTCTACTAAAAATACAATTAGCCGGGCATGGTGGCACAGGCCTGTAATCCCAGCTACTCAGGAGTCTGAGACAGGAGAATCACTGGAACCCGGGAGGTGAAGGTTGCAGTGAGTAAAGATTTCGCCACCACAAGATTGAGCCTGTGCGACAAGAAAAAAATCCATCTCAAAAAAAAAAAAAAAGGAAAAAAGTACAGAAAGAAATGGCTACTTCTTGGGAATAAAATAGAATCAAACTGGGGATTAACACTTAGACACCTGTATCATCTGAATTTTTTTTTTTCTTAAGAGACAGGGTCCATTGCGTGTTGCCCAGGCTGGAGTGCAGTGGGGCCATCACGGTGCAGTGCAGCCTCGACCTCCCAGGCTCAAGTAATCCTCCCATCCCAACTGGGCCTCCTGAGTAGCTGGGACTACAGGCATGTGCCACCACAACTGGCTAATTTATTTTATTTTTTGTAGAGACGAGGTCTCACTGTTGCCCAGGCTGGTTTTGAATTCCTGGGCTCAAGTGATACTCAAGCCTCGGCCTTGCAAAGAGCTGGGATTACAGGTGTGAGCCACGGTACCCAGTCTATCATTTGAATTTTTATCAGCAAAATATTACTTGTAATTAACAATGAACACATACTTTTCAAAAACCAAGCTACAAAGTAAACAGATGCCAGGTGGAAGTTCTTTTGCCTTTGTTCCTTATTAGGTTACTATTTACTTACTCCATAAAAATATTAGTTTATTCCACTCACACACAGGATTGTTCACACAAATTTGTACAATACAAGCCTTATGTGATGACACAGCTAAGTCTATGTAGACATATCGCTAATATTCTACTCTTCAGTTTAGAGTGGTTCCAATGAAGTGGGTATTTAGTACACAGAATGTTGGTAAAGTGGAAAGTTTTGTTAGAACCTTATGACAGGAGGGCCACTTAGTTATAATATTCTTTAAGAGCCTTATTTGCATCCATTAAAGGACAGAACTTTAAAAAAGGAGACTTAATGGCTATATTTGCTTACAGGAATTTAGCAAAAGAATACTATATCACAGTCTAACTAGTGAGAAATGGAAAAGATTCTAATATATAACAGGAAATAGTTACATAAAGTGCATCTATATAATGGAATTAAATGGAGCCATTTAAGATCCTGTTTACAGAGTATTTAATATTGATGTAATTAAAGCATCTATTGAGAGCTTATCACACGTCAGATACGCCAGAGCTCCATACACATTACATCATTTGATCTTCACAATCTTGAGATCTGTGATTTTAAAAACTGATGCACAGAGATTTTAATTACTGTTCACCTGCCACTTTTTAAACACAAAATAAACTCAATGAAATGGTAACATGTTACTTCTTGGTGAGGGTTATTTATTTTATTTCTATACTGATCTGTATTTTACAATGAGCATATTCTTTATTATAAGAAAAAACTGCCAAATTATATTTTAAGTTTATTTTTCCATGTGAAAGGAGAAAAAAGAAAATAGCTGCTTTGGTGGGATATACAGTTTGTTTTTTAAGATATTATTTTTAAATTAAGATTTTTTAAAAAACACTTGCAATTTGTGTGTGTGTGTGTGTGTGTGTGTGTGTGTGTGTATTTTTTAAGACAGGTCTTAATCTGTCGCCCAAGCTAGAGTGCAGTGGCATAATCACAGTTCACTGTGGCCTCAAACTCTTAGGCTCAAATGATCCTCCCACCTCGGCCTCCCAAAGTGCTGGGATTACAAGTGTGAGCCACGACATCTGGTCAATTTCATTTTTTTTTTTTTTCTTAACTTTTTAAACTATAGCTACTAGAACATTTTAAATTACACACATGGTTTGCGTCATATTCCTATCTGATAGCATCGGCCTGCAGTTTAAGGTAGCATTTCTAGAAGACACCAAAAACAGCGCAGAGGTACCTGTTCCAGAGGTCGTCATCTTCTCCACCCCAGCCCCAGAAAGCATTAGGAAAGCCGTTGATTTTCCGAAACTGTTCCACTGTTAAGCCACTCACTCCGCCAAAAAACTCAGTATAAGGAAGCCTAGGAGGAGATGTGGGAAATCAATCATCTGTGTGTTACAGGGTAATTGTTTCCCCTAGAACATTATTCATTTGAGGACTAAAAACAGTGCTCTCTGTGCTCCTGACCTGAACTTTTTTTTTTTTTTTTTTTTTGA